TAAATGACTCGTTTTTGCTGCTGCTAAATGACTTATTTCTCGTTTATATAGCTCATTTTTGCAGCTGCTAAATGACTTATTTTTGCAGCCGCTAAATGACTTATTTTTGCAGCTGCAAAATGACTGATTTTACAGCTGCTGAATGACTCATTTTGCAGCTGCTATATGACTTGTTTTGCAGCTGCTGAATGACTCATTTTTCAGCTGCTATATGACTTGTTTTTGCAGCTGCTATATGACTTGTTTTTGCAGCTGCTATATGACTTGTTTTTGCAGCTGCTATATGACTTGTTTTTGCAGCTGCTAAATGACTTGTTTTTGCAGCTGCTAAATGACTCGTTTTTGCTGCTGCCAAATGACTCATTTTTGCAGCTGCTAAATGACTTATCAATGAAACAGCTAAATGACTTATAAATGGAACAGCTAAATGACTCCTTTATGGAACAGCTAAATGACTCCTTTATGGAACAGCTAAATGACTCATTTATGGAACAGCTAAATGACTCATTTAAGGAACAGCTAATTGACTCACTTATATAGCAGCTAAATGTCTCGTTTATATAGCTCATTTTTGCAGCTGCTAAATGACTTATTTTTGTAGCTGCTAAATGACTAATTTTGCAGCTGCTAAATGACAAATTTTTTGCAGCTGCTAAATTTCCCCGTTTTGCAGCTGCTAAATAACTTATTAATGGAACAGCTAAATGTCTCATTTAAATATCGGCTAAATGACCCACTTATATAGCAGCTAAATGACGAAATTAAATAGCAGCTAAATGACGAAATTATGGAACAGCTAAATGACTCATTTATGGAACAGCTAAATGATTCATTTATGACTCTTTTATATAGAAGCTTAATGACTCATTTACATAGAAGCTACATGACTCATTTATATAACCGCTTGAATGACTCATTTATGGAACAGCTAAATGACTCATTTATGGAACAGCTAAATGACTCATTTATGGAACCGCTAAATGACTCATTTTTGGAACCTCTAAATGACTCATTTATGGAACAGCTAAATGACTTATTTATGGAACAGCTAAATGACTCATTTATGGAACAGCTAAATGACGTACTTATATAGCAGCTAAATGACTCACTTATATGGCAGCTAAATGTCTCTTTTATATAGCTCATTTTTGCAGCTGCTAAATGACTTATTTTTGCAGCTGCTAAATGAGTTATTTTGCAGCTGCTAAATGACTCATTTTGCAGCTGCTAAATGACTCATTTTGCAGCTGCTAAATGACTTCCTTTTGCAACTGCTAAATGACTCATTTTTGCAGCTGCTAAATGACTTATTAATGGAACAGCTAAATGACTCAGTTATGTAACAGCTAAATGACTCAGTTATGTAACAGCTAAATGACTCAATTATATAACAGCTAAATGACTCAATTATATAACAGCTAAATGACTCAATTATATAACAGCTAAATGACTCAATTATATAACAGCTAAATGACTCAATTATATAACAGCTAAATGACTCATTTATGGAACAGCTAAATGACTCATTTATGGAACAGCTAAATGACTCAATTATATAACAGCTAAATGACTCAATTATATAACAGCTAAATGACTCAATTATATAAGCGCTATATGACTCAATTATATAAGAGCTAAATGACTCAATTATATAACTGCTTAATGACTTAATTATATAACAGCTAAATGACTCATTAATGGAACAGCTAAATGACTCATTTATGGAACAGCTAAATGACTCATTTATGCAGCAGCTAAATATTATAGAGCAACTAAATGATTCAATTATGGAACAGCTAAATGACTCAATTATATAACCGCTTGAATGACTCATTTATGGAACAGCTAAATGACTCATTTATGGAGCAGCTAAATGACTCATTTATTCAGATGCTAAATGACTCATTTATGGAAAAGTTAAATGACTCATCTATGGAGCAGCTAAATGACTCATTTATGGGGTAGACTAATGACTCATTTATTGGGCAAACAGGTGAGTCATTTATGGGGCAGATTAATGACTTATATATGGGGCAGATTAATGACTCATGTATGGAGCAGATTAATGACTCATTTATTGGGCAAACAGGTGAGTCATTTATTGAGCAGATAAATTACTCATTTATGGGGCATATTAATGACACATTTATTGGTCAAACAGGTGACTCTGCTCAATAAATGAATCATTTAAAGGGAAGATAAATGACTCATTTTTGTAGCAGATAATATTACTCTGCTCAATAAATGACTCGTGCAGATGAGTGACATTATTGACAAATAACTGATTCAGTTATTGGACAAACAGGTGAGCCAAAGCAAGTGACTGACTCATCTGGCAGACAGTCACATTTCCGTTGGCCTGATAAATGAGTCACACACACTTGTTCATCAAATAAATGAGGCACTCAACAACCTTCCTAACCACAACCAACCACTCACCTTGCCCAATAAATGAGTCACTGATCTACTTATTAAAACTCACCTGTGTGCCCGATAAATAAGTTACTCATTTGCCGAATAAATGAATCATCTGCTTATCATTACTCACCACAAACACTGAAACAGATGAGTTATAATAGTTGGATGAGTTACTTATTTATGGGTCAAATAGTTGAGTGAATCCTGGGCAAACAAGTGAGTATAATAGTTAGGCGCGTGACTCATTTATTTGGCAAACGTGTGAGTTATAATAGTAAGGTGAGTGACTTATTTACTGGGCAAACAGGTGAGAGACTCATTAATTGGGCAAACAGGTGAGAGACTCGTTAATTGGGTAAACAGGTGAGTTATAGTTAGATGAATGTTCTCCTTTATTGGGCAAACGAGAGTTATAATAGCAGGTGAGTGACTTATTTATGGGCCAAACAATTGAGACTCATTTATTGGGCAAACATGTGAGTTATAAAGGTTGGGTGAGTGACTCGATTATTGAGCAAACATGTGAGTTATAAAAGTTATAAAATTTGCACAATAATTGACTCATTTATCTTCCCAATAAATGAGTCATTTATTATGGAAATAACTGACTTGTTTATTGAGCAGCTAAATGACTCATTTATTGAGCAGCTAAATGACTCATTTATTGAGCAGATAAATGACTCATTTATTGAGCAGCTAAATGACTCATTTATTGAGCAGCTAAATGACTCATTTATTGAGCAGCTAAATGACTCATTTATGGAGCAGATAAATGACTCATTTATTGGGCAAACAGGTGAGAGACTCGTTTATTGGGCAAACATGTGAGTTATAATAGGTGAATGACTTATTTATTGGGCAAACGTGAGTTATAATAGTAGATGAGTGACTCATTTATTGGGCAAACATGTGAGATATAGTAGTTAGGTGAGTGACTTATTTATCGGACAAACAGGTGAGTTATAATTAGATCAGTGACTCATTTATTTGGCAAACATGTGAGTTATAAAAGTTAGGTGAGTGACTTATTTATCGGACAAACAGGTGAGTTATAATTAGATCAGTGACTCATTTATTTGGCAAACATGTGAGTTATAAAAGTTAGGTGAGTGACTTATTTATCGGACAAACAGGTGAGTTATAATTAGATCAGTGACTCATTTATTTGGCAAACATGTGAGTTATAAAAGTTAGGTGAGTGACTGGTTTGTTGGGCAAACATATTAGTTTTAATGGTTGGGTGAGTGACTCATTTATTTGGCAACATGTGAGTTATACAGGTTGGGTGGGTGACTCATTTATTGGGCAAACATGTGAGTTAAAAAGGGAGCTACTCAATAAATGAGTCATTTATTTGCACAATAATTGACTCATTTATCTTCCCCATAGCAGATAAGCAGATGGAGCAGATAAATGACTCATTTATGGGCAAACAGGTGAGAGACTCGTTTATTGGGCAAACATGTGAGTTATAAAGGTTGGGTGAGTGACTCATTTATTGGGCAAACATGTGAGTTATAATAGAATATGATGTGAAACTGACAATTCAATGTAATTTGAAACAATAACAAGGAGACTTATGTAACCCACTCAATAGAAAAGTGATTTATTCTGCAATAGGATTACTCCCTTTTGACATGTTTAATTGCCTAATAAATAACTTGTAACCATGTTACTCAATGTGCATAATATTCTTATTGGGTTATCACCAGAATCAATGACAAAACTGATTGAATTGGTTGTCTGATCAAAAAGTCAGGAAATTAAGACAAGATTGGGTTTGCGCAGAGTCATGTGTTTGCTTGGCTAAAATTCGAAGGTGGTTTTTGATAAATGAGTAAACACCAAATAAATAAAATAATTTCCAGAAAGAGTTGGCAAATGTGGCTGTTTTTTGCTGAGTGAGGACTCAATGAGTCAACTTAAGAAACAACAAGTGACTCTTTCAATGCTGCATATATTCTGGTAACAATATGAGTAGAAAATATTTTTCACAGTTCATTTTTTAACTTTAAACCATGTGAACTCTTCCGCGCAAACAGCCTCAATTTTCGCTCTCTCTTTTTTTTTGTTCTTTGATATATCAATATCTAAATGTTCTATATTTAGAATGTCTATTTCCATTTGATTAGATATATTGTTGTCTTTAATGTCCATCTCTGAATCTGAATCAGAATCATGAGTTTCCTTGTAATCTTCTTCCTCTTCTTCTTCTTTTTCTTGTGATGATCTGAAATGAAATTTAAATTTTTTCAAAGTTTTTCTGTTGATGAATTTTTATGAAACAAAATGCTACTTTAACAATAAATGTTAGAACAAGAAATGGGTTGTTTTTTTAGGCTGGCAATGCCTGCTGTTGTTCATGGGAGAGAGATTAGAATTTTCCACTGTATTGGATGGGTTAGTCACTGCAATTTTGACAGAAAATGCAAAGTTTTTTCTATGGAACATGCACTGCTCTTGTAGCTTGTCACACAGAAGTTTAAAGATAGTGGACCACAGTCACATACGCCCACCACGGCATGTGGATGGTAAATATTCAAGACTTTGGGGCAAGGGCAATAACTCTGCTTCTAACTGTCGAAAATAGCTCAAATTCGAATTTGATCTTCGTTTTATGAATATGTATACACATACCGAATTTCATTTGATTCCATTAAAAAATCTAGTTTTTAGAGCGTTTACAAGCAAATATTGTCGGACGGACAGGGGTGCTGACAATCTACGCCCCCCCATTTCATGTGGGCGTATAAAAATGGACTGTGGTTCGAATTATTCATACAGATTTTTTTTCTCCAATGATACTCACTTTTTCTCAGAAATTAACAAAGATTGTAGAAACTTGGAACACAGGACAGTGACTGGTGGTTGGACATGGGGAGAGGTTATTAAAATCTGAAAATAATAAAATCAAGGTTAGTTAAATATAGAAGACAAATATTTGTAGTCATCTCAAAAGATATTGACATCATAGATCGAATTTCATAAGATGAAATCGACCGACTAATTCAAACTTGAGCAATATGACCAAACCCAGATGATCTCACATGCTGCAAGTCACAATGTCGATCTAAACTCTCATTTACAGGGACAGGTTTGCTTTTTTCCGGGATTGATTTGGGTTCTGAATAGGTTTCAGATACTAGAAATGTATGAAAATCGCATAATTCCATCAAATATACCTCAGGCTAGGAATTTTTCTTTCTATTTCTATATATGGCAGTGTCTCAAGAAAAGGCGAGTCATATTTTTCACTTTCAAACGTGGATAATTCTTGACACACATCGACTGTTAGCTGTGAACCTCAATATTCCAATAAAATTAAATAGAACTTATGAACAAACCTCATTAACAAAACTGCTATCTTTTCGTCGTAGAAGATCAATGTTAGTTTCTGGTTGTTTGTCTCTGGTAGATTTTTCAGCTATCAATTCACCAAATGGTGTTTTGGGTATGTTGGATTTTACTGATAACTGAAAAGATATGAAATATTTTATTCATTAGAAGTAAGAAGAAATTTTTGCTTTAGCCAGTTACATTTTTACTTTGCAATTTTACCAGGACCGAATCACTTTTCCACTTACTGAAAAGATATCTTTAACATGCAAAGTCTGTAGAAAGAGAGCCTTTGTTATCATCCCATACAAACATTTGGGGCTCTGTTATCAAAATGATTGACACCAAGAACTAGATAGAAAAGGTATTATCTCAACCTTTGTCATAACAAAACCTTGAAACAAGAGTCTAACTTGCTATGACTCCATTTCGTCCTGTTTTTTTTAATAGCTTTTCTTTTTATATTATTAGCATTTCAGTTAGGGTCTAAAGACTGGCCTCTTTGACCTGCTTTAACCAATCAAATCTCCAGCACTGGTATTTTGTGAGGGAGTGAAGTAATTTGATTGAGTGAAGCAGACGTCATCAGATAAGGTCACTAAATTTAAAAAAAAAACACTTACAGTAGAATATCTGTCATCTTCATGATCTTCGTAATCTACTGTGGATAATTTCTGATCCATATTCATAAAGTACAGCTGACATTGCGTCTGCCAAGATAGAGCACTTGTTTTATTGTGTTGTTCAGACTTGTTGTGAGGTATAAATACAGCTCCTGTAATGGCTGACAGACTGACAGTAGAATGTTTATAAACAGGTTGTGGCTTAGATGGTTCAAATACGAATACTGAAATGAAACAAAATTTTGTTTTTATTACATGCTTCTGTATTACAATCTTTCTTTAAGGGTCGGGGGTGATGGAAGCTCAGTGAGTTAGACACTTGCTCGCTAACCTGAAGGTCCAGGGTTCAATCCCAGCATAGGTCGAGATAATACCTTCGGATTTTTCAACCTGGTTTCGTCCTGGCAGTGATGCAGGTCGGAGGGGCTAGAAAAAGCGCCTGGTCATGCGGACGATAAATAGAGGTTACAGACTGTGCAGTTACAAAGCAAAAAGAGTTGGCTTATGCCGCAATCCTGGCAAAATTTCCCTGGTTGCAAACTACATGGTGTAGTCTTCGAACACCCAATTAGGCGCAGAAAGTAAAAATTCATTTAATTTCCTTTCCTTCATATGGGCCATTGACCACCAACAAAGGGATCTGAAACATGGAGTGAAATGAAAAAGGAGAGACAAGTACTTACAGTGTCTGTCTGTTGTAAAAGCTGCCATGACAGTTGAAAATGGATCTGCTATCAGAGTAGACACTCGTACATTGACTGTCCATTGTACTGATAAAGACAGGAGGTTCCAGGACGTAATATGTTCATCTGATGTGGTAACTAAATACTGGCAACATTTATTACACCCAAAACTTATATTACTGTAAATAAACACAGTTCAGTTATATAATATATAATTGCGAATACAACGCTCATCCCTTGTTATTTTAGGTATGCAATTTTTGTACATTTATAGTACTCTGAAGACTATTTACATATATTTACTCAAATCAACCCCCAAAATGGCACACTTGTCCCTTGAAGACCCTGGTTCCCAACCTGGGGTGTTTTCAGTCCTGGGGGTGTGGGACTAGGGTGTCAGGGGCGTGGCCAACTGGTATAGGAGAAGAATTTATTTTGAGTTGAGAGAGCACCTCACATCATCACATGCTCAAAATGTTGGGAACACTGCTTAAGGATAGGATAACTTAGAAACAGTGACATCCTAACTTTAAGAACATTTTGAGAATATGTGACTAGATACTTACTTAATGTTGAAGTCTCCTAGATTACTGTGTAACGTTGCTTTCAGTTCATTAGTATCAGGGTTCCACAGTGTAACAGTAGATTTAAATACCACGCCTAATATAGACCCATCTTCTGTAAATTCTGCTTGACCTGCTGGTAGATCACGATACGTGCTCGAAGATTCACACATCCATTTTGTAACGGTACCTTAAAACAAACAAAATCAAAATCGAAAGTAAATCCGTTCTCAGTCTTTTAAAGTTGGATGTCACAGGCAAAAATTAGAATAGCAAATGGATATTCATCCAATGAACATGCTTCCTTATCATTAAAAAGATTGCTAACTTATTTTTAGTTTTGTATGACGCAGTGTGTATTTTAACCAATCAAACAGCCCTTTTCATCCTCAAACTGATATGATAAGTAGAAGTTTTGTATGTATGTTTAAATTTACAAAACAAAAGTTAAAAATGTCTATATACAAGTATGTTTGAAAATGGCCAGTTTTAAAATCACATGACATCATGAATATATTTATCGCCGTCCTTGGTAAGAAATGAAATGAATGGAGTTTTACGTCCTACTATTCTGCACCATGTGGGCTTTTTTTCAATTTCCAACTGTCGAGGGGTCTTTAACGTGCACAGCCTGTAGCGCACAGGGCCTCGGTTTATTGTCCCATCCGAACGACTAGACGCTTTTTCCATGTCAACCCCTCTTACCTGCATCACTGATAGGGGGAAACCGGGTTGAAAAATCTGAAGGTATTATCTCGACCTATGCCGGGATTGAACCCTGGACCTTCAGGTTAGCGAGCAAGCATCTAACTCACTGTGCCACCACAGCTCCCAGTCCCTGGTAAAACCAATGTAAAACAGGCTAGAAATATGTATGAGTTTTGGACATGTTTTTGTAGTCAAGAATCACGTAACAAACCTATCCAACTTACCATATAAATCTGTGCTGTCCTCCGCAGACCACAGTTTAAAGCTGCCATCTTGACATGTAGAGACAACCATTAATAAATCTTTGTTTCCACGACACCAAGGACGGAATTTTAACCAGTGTATTTCTTCTTCGTGAGGAAATTCAACACTCGTATTCAATATATAGCTGAAAAATCAAGAAAAAATTTAGCTCCTATGCATTGTTTGTGTTAACCTCATTCAATCAAGTTTTTTTGTTGATTATGAAAAATCATCTAGACCCAAGACAAAAGCGCCAACTATTCTACAATTTTGAGCAAAAGTAATTGGCTATCTTGAAAGATTTGCTAGCTAGCTATTCCAGAATCAGCAACAAAAAGTTGTGTCAACTCTTAAACAGTATTAAAGGCCTCCAGTTTGGTCTGGGTTTCGTTTACCAAATTGAGATCAATTATCAATGGCAGACTATCATCAATAATCAAATAGAAATAATTCATTTGAGAAATCCTGTAAATACTAAATTAAAAACATGACAAAAATTTTGTGTCATAGAAGTATATTCTTGCTTTGATCGGTTATCATAGTTTATTTTGGGTGTGTTTTGTTCTGAAGGAAATCTATGTGGAAGAGATTACTACTTGTTAATGGGATCACAAGAGAAAATGTCATTTTGACATATAATCGATAATCAAATTATAAATTCCTACTGACGATAATCGTTAATTTACTCAATCCTACCTCCAATTTTAATAGAGTGAAACAAACATGAGAACTTGCTTACGTTTGTTTTTCTTCATTGAAGATCCAAAATTTTATTCTTATTTCCGGGCTGAGATTTTCTGCGGACCAGTATTCAGCTGTTGCTAACCATTTACCACAATGATTGAAGGTTGCCTTGGTTACCTGGGTTGCCATGGAGTCTTTAGATAAAGAATCAGGTGAGATGTAGTTTTGACAAGTTATGTCTAACTGAAATTCAGAAATTTTATTTTATTTTTTCTCATTTAAAACACCAAGAGTTATTTGGCATTGAAATCAATTAACTCATTTGCCATATCAAAATTATTGACGTCTGCCTCCATTTTGGAACCAGATGATCTGATCATATGCTCAATTTCTACAAAATTCCTTAAAAAACTCAAAACATATACTTACATTGAATAGTTGAATATCTGTATGTACATTATAAAACTGTAGATGACCAACACGTCCATTAGTGACCAGTGCTTTAGACAGGGGGTCAAACAGTAGTCCAGTTGAAGATCTGGGTTTGACCTGTGACATATGACCCCTTGTTAACCCCTGGTAAAAACACACTGGACTGTAGGTGTTGGATATCAGTCGGATAGCTGGAATAAAACAAACATATTGTTAAATATAAGTATAAAAAAATCTGTAATTTGCACAAGTTTTAATGGCGGTCTTAAAGGGATTGTGAAGAGGTTTTTGTATGTGTATCAGCAACATTGATAGCATCAATTTACACCATTCCAATTTTTCAATCAGATGTCTGTGGTTCCTGCAATTCCACTAAAACTAAGTGTTTAAAGACGTCACTAATCGCTAAGGGTCTTATGTGATAAAGCATATTTTGCGATTAATGGAATTGCGGGTACCACAGACGTCTGATTGAAAATTAGAATTAGGCAAATTGATGACATCAAATTTAGAAAACCTTTTTACAATCCCTTTCAGTGATTTATCATTTCTCTCATGGAAATAACCAAGCAGGGTCACAAGGAACAAGGTCTTCTTACCATTATCATCCTGTGAGAGGGCGTAAACTGTATTATCAGGAGAACAAGTTATATGATTGATAGGAGATCCCAATCTGGGTAGAAAATCTCGGTTACTCGAATCAAACTGCCATTTTACCAAAACACACTCATGACCACCAGATAGTAGATTAGAACCTGAAATTTACAGCACAGTGTTAAAACTACATAAAATAAATTCAATAGAAGTTTTAGATCCCGCTAATAATGAAGACAGGTTATATTACAGTGTGCAATGAGGGACATTTAGCCAGGACAATGAATTATTAGATATCTCAATTCTTAAGCAGTTAGAACCAAGCCCAAAAGACTGGGAATATAAGATATTATCAGGCACCTAAAAAGGGGGGGGGGGGAGGGGGAGGAGGCACTACACAACAATTTGCATGGGTGATCTTGCTCAGACACATCAGTACTTCTAGCAGGAATATTCTTACCTTCCTGTGTAAATTCCAGACATTTAACAGGCAAAGAGTGCCAGTGGTAACTTGTCTCAACAGGATTTTTCTTGAAGAAATTCCACCTACACAAGAGAATTTCAAAATGATTATTTATTCATCATTAAAGGGATTATAAAGAGGTTTTCTAAATTTTGTAAGTGTATCGGGGAAACTGATAGCATCAACTTTGGCCATTCCAATTTTCAATCAGATGTCTGTGGTTCTAGCAATTCTTCTAAAACTAAGTGTTTTATTTCGCGGGGGTGAAGTGTTAAAACATTTAGTTTTAGTGGAATTGCAGGAATCACCAATGTCTGATTGAAATTGGAATGGTGCAAATTGATGCTATCAGTGTCTCTGATACTCACAAAAATTTTAGAAAATCTCTTTACAATCTCTTTAAGAATGATTTATCACTGAGAATTAAGAAATATTATAGAAAATTCAAATATAAGTTGAGGTTTTCTCAGGCTAAAATGTGGCCAATATAGTTCATTTATACAGCATTAAGAAAGAAAAATTCTAGCTAACATCTTCTGCTCACTGGAGTCTAAAAGAGACCTTGCAATTTTCTGACGTACCCAATGAAGTTAAAGGTCCTGGGTGGATAAAAAAGTCACTTACCAGAAATGTATCCTACCGAGTTCATCACCAATGACAATACAAGGCTGTACTGGATGACACGTGATACACGTATAACAGTTTTCATCTTTACTGACACTGAAAATATTGTTACATTCAATTAAATATCTAAAGAGACAGATTTGCAATTTCCAGGGGTTGAATTGAATATGGTACTAGTCTTCAGAAGTACTAGAAATGTACAAAAATTGCAAAATTCCAAAATGTGTCTTTTCTATATAAGACAGAGTCTCAAGAAAAGATGAGAGTCAACAATTTAACTTTCAAACGTGGATAATTCTGGACACACGTAGATTTGAAGTCTAATTTTGACAGTGAGCTGTGAACATTATTACTGATTAGTTTAGCCAAACAATTCCTGTTTCTGAGACTGAAGTACGCTTGGTCAAACGGATGGTGAACCTGTCCTTTTAACATCATATTTTTATCGTACTAGAATACATGCACTGTATAATAGATAAATATATCTGTTATTCTGTTTAAGTTTTGAATTGTATCCAGATAAGCACAAATATCTTTGCCTGATTGTACAATGTTAACCACAGCCATATACGCCCACCACGGCATGCGAATGATAAAAACGAAACATCCATTTTAAGTTTCATCATCAAAATCTGTTGAAAACTAAGAGAGTAATAGCATATTCATTTTGGGGCAAGGGCAATAACTCTGCTTCTAAGATCGAAAATAGCTCAAATTCCAACATGATCTTCGTTTTATGAATATGTATACACATACCGAATTTAATTTGATTCCATCAAAAAATCTAGTTTTTAGAGCGTTTACAATCAAATGTTGATGGACCGACGGACAGGGGTGCCGACAATATACGTCCACATAGAGAGATGTGGGGGTATAAAAACTAGTTGGAGAATTATCAAGAACGACACAAAAAACATTTAGACCACAAATACATTGTCCATATAGATAATATTTAGACCACAACATTCAAATTCACCCATCTGAGTTTACAGAGGATATCAGTATTTGTCTACTCTTTTTAATTTCCAATTTCTCTGCACAGAATGACTACATGTAGATATTCTAGAAATTATGCAAAGAAATAGCTTGTGTCAATAACAAAAGCATGTCCAGCCAGACAAAATCACTGCAAGACTTTTTGAAGCTTCAAACAGACATGACTGGTAAATACACTAAATCAAAATCCCTGACACTTACGTTCGTTTATCCCCGTTTTTCAAATCAACGACAACCAGTGATTTTTCTCGTATTGATGCTAAATATTTATCCTACAAATTAAACGTAAATGAACTGTCAAGGTATATGGCAGAGTCTCGAAAAAAGACTTTCAAACGCAGATAATTTTGGATACACATGGACTTGAAGGCTCAAGTTTTGATGGTAAGCTGAGAAAATTTACTGATTAGCTTAGCTAAAAAAAAACTTTTGTCTCTGAGACTAAGGTATGATTGGTCAAAAGGATGGCAAACCTGTCACTTTAATCATCTCAACCTATGGAGGGATCAAACCCAAGTCCTTCAGATTAATAAACATTGAACAAGCCTTTAATTTGCATATGAAGTGGTTGTTTTTGAGCTTTATACTAAATAAAGAATAGAGAAAACATACCTGTGCACCAATATGAAGACTTTTTCTATTTGCACTACAATGATCTAACAGTGTAGATGGTTTGGGTTTACTGTCATTTAACCAATCAGATAACACATATCTTACTAACTCATAACCTGTAATATAATAAACACATATCTTACTGACTCATAACCTGTAATATAATAAACACATATCTTACTGACTCATAACCTGTAATATAATAAACACATATCTTACTAATTCATAACCTATAATAGAATAAACACATATCTTACTAACTCATAACCTATAATAGAATAAACACATATCTTAGTAACTCATAACCTGTAATAGAATAAACACATATCTTAGTAACTCATAACCTGTAATAGAATAAACACATATCTTACTAACTCATAACCTGTAATAGAATAAACACATATCTTACTGACTCATAACCTGTAATAGAATAAACACATATCTCACTAACTCATAACCTGTAATAGAATAAACACATATCTTACTAACTCATAAACTGTAATAGAATAAACACATAACTTACTAACTCATAACCTGTAATAGAATAAACACATATCTTACTAACTCATAACCTGTAATAGAATAAACACATATCTCACTAACTCATAACCTGTAATAGAATAAACACATATCTTACTAACTCATAAACTGTAATAGAATAAACACATATCTTACTAACTCATAACCTGTAATAGAATAAACACATATCTCACTAACTCATAACCTGTAATAGAATAAACACATATCTCACTAACTCATAAACTGTAATAGAATAAACACATATCTTACTAACTCATAACCTGTAATAGAATAAACACATATCTTACTAACTCATAACCTGTAATAGAATAAACACATATCTTACTAACTCATAACCTGTAATAGAATAAACACATATCTTACTAACTCATAACCTCTAATAGAATAAACATATATCTTACTGACTCATAACCTGTAATAGAATAAACACATATCTTACCAACTCATAACCTGTAATATAATAAACACATATCTTACTAATTCATAACCTGTAATAGAATAAACACATATCTTATTAACTCATAACCTGTATATAATAAACACATATCTTACTGACTCATAACCTGTATATAATAAACACATATCTTACTAACTCATAACCTGTAATAGAATAAACACATATCTTACCAACTCATAACCTGTAATATAATAAACACATATCTTACTAATTCATAACCTGTAATAGAATAAACACATATCTTATTAACTCATAACCTGTATATAATAAACACATATCTTACTGACTCATAACCTGTAATATAATAAACACATATCTTACTGACTCATAACCTGTAATAGAATAAACACATATCTTACTGACTCATAACCTGTAATAGAATAAACACATATCTTACTGACTCATAACCTGTAATATAATAAACACATATCTTACTAACTCATAACCTGTAATAGAATAAACACATATCTTACTAACTCATAACCTGTAATATAATAAACACATATCTTACTGACTCATAACCTGTAATAGAATAAACACATATCTTACTAACTCATAACCTCTAATAGAATAAACACATATCTTACTAACTCATAACCTGTAATAGAATAAACACATATCTTACTGACTCATAACCTGTAATAGAATAAACATATATCTTACTGACTCATAACCTGTAATAGAATAAACACATATCTTACTAATTCATAACCTGTAATAGAATTGAGTTTTACATCCTAATGTTATTTTTCAGGGCTATAGTCTTCAGAAGTACTAGAAATATATACGAAAATTGCGTAATTCCTTCACAATTACCTCAAACTTAAAATGTCTCTATTTCTATATGTCTTTTCTAGACAAGTCATCTTTTTAACTTTCCTTTGCGGATACTTCTGGACACACATGGATTTGAAAGCTCAAAATTTGAGGGTGAGCTGTAGACACTATTACTGATTGGCTTAACTGAAAAATTTCTGTTTCTGAATCTAAAGTATGATTGGTCAAACAGATGGTGAATCTTTAACTCTTTGGAGCTCCAAATTCTACTATAACAAAATGAAATAGTGTACAAAAGTCAATTCAATTTACCTTTAGATTTTGGTTTCTTTTCCTGAATGACAGCAACGGTCAGTTTGGAGGTTTCTTTATAACATAAAATACCATACAGCGGAGTATTCACATTAAATTTCTAAAATAGTAAATCAAATTAGTTAAACCAAGATGGCCAACAGTGGGCAGATGAGAATTTACTGACAGATAAAATCATAACAGTGATTATAGTCATGTAGCTGACACACCTCGATATATTTTTTAACTCTTCTGCACATGCAACTTTCTGTAGTGTTGTGTACTTTCAGATGAGTTCATATATCAGATCAGGGGTATGTATCAATTATTTCAAGCAAAAATTTAACATTTCATGATAATGTGGGGTTACCCACAGAAAATACACAAAATCGAATATCTTCATCTATAAGCTCATTCCAATTGGAGAATCATCTTGCGTGTGACAAAAATGGGCAACAACAAAAATCTGTGTGCTGGCAGCATTAGTCATAATATTTGAAAAGAGAATCCTCACATAACTTAAAGACAACTAGTGGGACAAACTGCTCTGGAAAGGGTTCAAGTTCTGGTCATTAAAAACTAACATTGATGATGTTGTTGGCGATCTCTCTCTTTAACAGTCAGGTATAAATACTATTTACTCACCCGCAGTATAACCCCATCTGTATAATCCCACTGTTTGATCCAACCATCTACAGAACATGTTAAAATCTACAAAAATGGAAAACACTTCAAATCAGTACGGATTTGGGTCAGAACAGTCAGAAGACAGGCTTTAGAAATGGATGAAATACAGTAGGTGGAATTTAACACCGAATTTAACATTATTTTTCTGCACCCGTCTGCCAGACATCAGGGCTTGATTGGCTTTGAGTCTGTACTTAGACAAATTTTCAGACGCAAAGCTTCAAAATTAGGATAATGCATGACAGAGTTGTCCAGATTTTTGGCAATCTACTTTACCGTCGTATGAAACACCTATTGGTCTATATGGAATTACAGACTCATTATAAACATAATCTCACCTGGAGTCTATTCCTGGGGTTTAAACAAACATCAGTTATAGTCTGTGTGTGCCCCTTTAGTTCTCGTATACATCCCCCACCAGTTGTACTAAACACTTTAACTGTTGTTCCAGATACACAGAATAGACATCTGAAAATAAATCAATTGAAATCCATTCTACTTTCTACTCAAATTGGTATGTGCAATCATCGACTGAAAGCAATATTATATTTCAACTGTCGATGGATTTACCGTATGCAGACTGCAATAGGTAATTAAGACAGACAAGACCATGTAGTATGCAGTAAGGGATATTTGACAAGACACTTCACTACCAGAAAATCATGTTTTGAAATTATGCACAAAACCGAGACACCAATTCCAGAATAAACTGGCATTTGACACGTCTTGATCGGCTGATACCAACTTACTTTCCATCATGGGAGAATACGGGCTTGACTGCAACTATACTTTGACCTGCACGAAGACAAACTTTTGGCTTTTCTTCCACAATTTCAATGTCATCCTCTATCAAATCTATCTCCACGTGCGCTTCGGTGGTCGCCATCTTTGTTTATTCTGATTGAAATCATTTCATTGGCTGCTAATAACTGTTCATCCAATCAAATGCCAAGATTTGTCAATGTTCTCTTCCGGTCAAAAAAAATTTATCCTGAGAATTTTTTATAAATTTTCAACAATTTAAGTCACAAAATGGTGAAATTTAGCGCAGAAACTAAGCAAAGATTGTCAACATTATTCGGCCTGACAAGGTTCATCTTTCAGTGGGGATTTATACCAGCTGTTGTCTATTTAGGTTAGCTTATTTACTAATTTACGAAACATTCAAATTGGTGTCTGTGATTTGCAAATTACCCACCGTGAAGCAAAAATAGTTTCAAGCAACTTCATTTGCCAAACAATATAGAAAAAAAAAACAGAAATAATAAATCAGAACCTAAAAAAATATGTTGTTGTTACTCAGATCAGAGTCAGAGTTTAAGGCGATGGCACCATTTTTTTTATTTCATTTTTCCAATAGTGTAATCTTTCTAGATTTAGTAAATTTTTGTATTTTGTTTTTCAGGCTTTCAAAAGGGATCAGAAGAAGGAATGCCTCCATTTACATTTTTAAGGTACAATGTTTTATAATTGCAGCTTATTCGCTGCCAATGAGAGTTGGAAAATATTAGCAGTAATTCAGTAGTTGGCAAGAGCTATGCCTTGAGATTGTTGAATACCAATAAAAGGCTTGTGAGGGGTTGACAGAGCAGAGACTCAAAGGCTGTGATATAAGGGTATCATAGTTACTTGATTTGAAGTCATTTCAAAACCTACCACACTTACCTTGTGAAAAGTTGTCACAAAGCTCTGTGTGTGTATGTTGCTACTTACACTTTATTTTATTAAGATATTTAAATTTGGATTGATGATAAGTATATTTGTATTTTTTTTTCAGTATATTTATGTATTGATGAAAATTGAATCCAGGGGAATGGCTGAGAGATGACTGAATGGTAGTTTATGAGTGAAGTTTGTGATATTTAGTGAAGCTTTTGCATAAAAAATTCTAGGATAATAAAATGCTATCTTGACAGTTTCTTTGTGTTTTTATTTTTAAATAAATAGACCTCTACATCCTACTTTTCTGTTCCTATTTGGGTCAATGAAGACATAGTGTGCATCAAGGGAAAATTTGTCATGACTATGATGTCTACTCTTTTACTAATTGGAACTATCAAAGGATTTATCACAAAATGTAGGGCATAGGTTTACAGTTGTATTTTCCATGTTAGATTCTTATAGTTTTACAGTCCTAAATTTCAGTTCATCCTAAGCATGTGGTTAGTCTGCAATCATAATGGCCAAAACCCTGTCTATTTACGTAATGATTGAACCTAGGTTTTCTACAAAACCGCTATGGAATCTCTTTTCAATTGGTTTCTGGATCAGTGGCTTGAGAGGGGGCCTTACAAGGACCACAAAGTTTTCCAAGGTAGCCCTAAGGCTATTCTTTGACTATGTAAATTGCTAAAAACTTTTAAAGTGGTGGGGTGTGGCAAAGCCAGGGCAACCCCATTCTGAGTAGAAATCCACTGTACTGGATAGAACAAAAGAAAACCCAAAAGTGCAGATCTGTCAATTTAATAGAAGATTTTTAATAATGGTTGGCAGAGGTAGTTGGAAAATTTTACGTCCATTTCGTTGTCCTAGAATTTTCCGTATTTCAAGAACGCACATGTCCATTAAAGGACCTACGCTGTCCTCCTGGAAGGATTTAACAAATTTTTGGAGAAGATCAATGGTTTCTTGTTTTCGAAATTCTGACTGATCATAATCGACTTTAAGACAAAGACAAACATTGACAAGCTGGCGTCTCGAACAAACTAAATTGTCAAACATAAATTGGACACAAGCTTGATGGTCATTCAAAACTGCAATGTCCAAAGGTGTTCGTCCTCTTTGATCGGCTTCGAAAGAATCCGCAGACGCATTGAACAGCAGCTGTAAGCACTCTACATGTCCATTTTCGGCAGCTAAATAAAACGGCGTCTTTCCATAGCGATCTTTAGCAACAAGATCCATATTGGAATCGTTTATGAGATATTCCAAGCAACGTGTGCTTCCGAAAATGGAACTTTCATGCAAGACGTTGGTCCCTTTACTAGATTTTGATGTAATATCGACAGATCTTGTCACAAATTCCAGCACAATTTGTAAATTATCAAATTTTATGGCAGCCACGAATGATTTATTTTTATGCCAAGTGGAAGGAAAATGTGCCCCGGCTTCCAACAACAGCCGTACAACTTCCGTTCTGTTTTTGTACGATGCAGCCATCAAGGTGTTTAGACCACTAGAATCCGCCCAAACGTTCACAGATGCCTTGTGTTGGATCAGTAACGCTATTAATTCATCACTGCAATCGTTCTTTACGGCCTGGTAGAGCGGAGACGTGAAGCCTGCGTTTGGGTTCGCACCAGCTTCTAATAGCACCCGACAAACATCCATATTATTATTGAGAGTCGCATACGAGATGGCACAGTTTCGCGTCACATCCAAAAGGTCCAGATTCAGTTTTGGATCACTGTATCTATAGGCGCACACGATCTTACGCAACGTATCGACATCGTTTTCCTTACACGTCAATATCACCAATGAAGCGCCGTACTTGTCTGTAACGTTACAGTCAACACGTTTATTGAGGAATCCAGCTACGACGGATAACTTTTTCATTTTGTAAGCGGCAATGACTGGAGGATCACCAAATCTGTTGAGTTTGGCAGTATCGCAACTGTCTTCGATGAGAACCTCAACAATTTTGGTATTGCAGTACTTGTAACTTTCAAAGCGGTCATCCGGCAGAGCTGTGATTAGGTTATGCATCAGAGACTCACCAGAACTCTCCAAACGGTTGAAAACACCAGCGAACTTTTGTTGACAATACTGAAGAAGCCTTTTCTGTTCGTTCAGATCTTGGATATGGTGTGTGAAGACCTGCTTCAGCTTCCATTCTATCCCATAATATGTTGGTCGTGCGAGAAGGTCCTTCTGATTAGTCGGTTTCCTTATTTTGATGTCGCTTTTCAGGGTGATATTTTTCAGTTCGTTCTTTTCTAAATCGACTTTGGTGATGAACTTTTTCAGTTCCTGATTGTTTTTGCTTCTGAAACAGTAAGAGTATACGTTTTTCCATAAAATAAATTAAAATGGAAATGTAGTCTTAAATCCTACTGTTCTGTATGAAATGGAAACTTATCTACTGCTCTCTATCTTATTGGGTTAAATAAAATGAAATGGAGATTTATATCCTTATACTGTTCTGTACTTATTTGGTGAATAAGCCTAGGTACAATAATATTAACTTACCGCGAAAATCTCCGGCGGAACTTTTTCCAAAAGGACACATCCATTCCGCTCTTCTGTTTAATGAGCCCCCACAAATGATTTCACAGTTATTTAGAAGTGGTCTTACTATGGATTTGTCATACCCAAAATATTGTTTGGTTTGATATAGAAATATAATGGTTGCTATCGACGTTCATTGGACATATTGCGTCGTCTCTGTTATCATATTGATAGCCTAAACACACGAGCTTGGCTTACATTTTTATTGGGCCCAAACCAGGTCTCTATTTATCAGTGGTAATTCGCAACGATTGATCTGCGACGTGTACTCAATAACCTACATGATGCGTATTGATAACGGATTGGTTGGATGGTTGGTAGGTAGATGACAAGTTAACGTTCGCTTCCAGCGGATGCTGATATCGCAAACTAGGTAGTTGTTGGTAGTCGTAGTAGTTGGTAGTTGGATTTGATAACGGATTGGGTTTTGATCCAAACATGTCACGTGATACGTTTGAGAAACCATTGACCTTTTGATAAGGGGCTGATAATGAGCCTGTATTTCAGGAGTAGCCTAGTGACTTAAACGGGGCTTGCAAATCTAAAGTAGCGTTCAACGTTCGGACCCATAAACAAAGTTATGTCGGATGTGCGAGGCTATATTAAAGATATAGGCCTATTGTCCAGTCATCGACCTCAAATAACTTCGACTGATAACAATTACAACATATATCACAAACATTTCATGACAAAATTTGATAGGTTGTGTAACAAATTTTATTTCATTTCGATTGTTGAGTTATCAAATGAAATAAACTTTAACGTCTTCTCTGCATCAATGATAAACGAAGTGAAATGAAGTATAACGCCTCACTTTTGTACACTTGATTGGGCTCATGTCGACGGACAATGGCACGAGCAAGGTTAGGGATTTGGGATTGAAAAGGGGACGTCAATACGTAATGTTGGAATTGAACCCTGCAATTTGGAATGAAAAGTTACAATTAAATCTAAAAATCCCCATAAACCAGGATCTGGTTAATCTGACTCTACTCCAGCCGACAACTGACTGTCAAAATAGCTACCAGAGGCTGGAATAGATGAAGATGTTTCGGACTAGGTTTTACTATACCTAATAAACAATACAACAACTAATTAAGTAATTTATACCCGTGGTTCAATGCTAATGATTGTAATTTGTATAAATCAACATGGGTCTTGTACTGTCCAATTTTCATATTATGTTTCAATCCACGTTTCAATACTGACCACTCATTATCTCGGCACTGGTCTAAGGTCTAAATACCAATGATGCAGTTGGAATAATGTGCTTTTTTTCATTGCAGACAAACCAGACGCCAATTATAACTGATATTACCATACCATACTATCGTTTCTAATTTTCAAAGCTATAGAAATGCTTTGTACAACGACAGTTTTCCGCCGTCAAGATTTGGCTAGAGCATACCAAACTATCTTGTCCAACTATAGCTAGCCGAGTGTTTGGTGCAGTGCCAGTTGTCAGAATGAGACTAGATCATACCAAATTACCGTGCCCAACTGGCTAGCGGATTGCCTGATACAGTGACAGTTTTCTGTGATCAGAATGCAACAAAGCATACATGTTTGACAAGCTATTGTATCCAACTAGACAGCTTTCTGTCGGCAGAATGAGACTACAGCACCCATGTTTGACAAGTTATCGTGTCCAACCAGGCAGCTGCAGATTGCTTGGTACAATCACAGCTTTCTGTTGTCAGAATGCAACAAAGCATACATGTTTGACAAGCTATCGTGTCTAGCCAAACAGCAGATTGCTTGGTACAATCACAGCTTTCTGTTGTCAGAATGCAACGAAGCATACATGTTTGACAAGCTATCATGTCCAACCAGGCAGCAGATTGCTTGGTACAATCGCAGCTTTCTGTTGTCAGAATGAGACTACGGCATCCATGTTTGACAAGCTATCGTGTCCAGCCAAACAGCAGATTGCGTGGTACAATGACAGCTTTCTGTTGTCAGAATGAGACTACAGTACACATGTTTGACAAGCTATGGTGTCCAGCCAAACAGCAGATTGCACTGCACAATGACAGCTTTCTGTTGTCAGAATGCGACAAAGCATCCATGTTTGACAAGCTATCGTGTCCAACCAGGCAGCAGATTGCTTGGTACAATCACAGCTTTCTGTTGTCAGAATGAGACTACGGCATCCATGTTTGACAAGCTATCGTGTCCAGCCAAACAGCAGATTGCGTGGTACAATGACAGCTTTCTGTTGTCAGAATGAGACTACAGTACACATGTTTGACAAGTTATCGTGTCCAGCCAAACAGCAGATTGCACTGTACAATGACAGCTTTCTGTTGTCAGAATGCGACAAAGCATCCATGTTTGACAAGCTATCGTGTCCAGACAAACAGCAGATTGCACTGTACAATGACAGGTTTTTGTTGCCCGAGTGATCTTATCGGGGCGCAACTCAACGCAGTTTCGGTAAAGCCCATGAAAAAGTTGACCAATAATTGACCGTATATAAAAAGGTTATTTGAGTGCAAATTCTCTCAGATATCGATTCAGTCAAATACCAGGGCCGAGACATTTAAAGGTGATGTAGTCATATTTCTGTGTTTCAGGAAAATCTGATAATTCCTCTCTATTTAATAATAATTAACCACTACTTAAATAATTATTCCAATTAATACTGCCTTTATATTAACCCTACACAAAAAAATCTGAACAGTCTGACTAAACCTCTGGTATCGTCATCACCGTTTCAAATCTGCAAGCACCGATATTAAAGATGGTTGGCATAGTGAATTTGAGAATTACTATCGCATTCCTGTGCGTTATTGGTGTTATCACTGCAGCTACTTTGGGTAAGTTTTTATTCTTTGTTTATGATACAAAACCACCCATCTGGACAGTTCATTTGAAACCGAGATGGAGAGTACAGCGAAACTCCTTCAAACCGACAGGCTGTCGGCCCAACAGACTTGGGTTTGAGGGATTGCCGGTTTAGAAAGACTATTTAACTATAGATTAACTACCTTGGGGCTTGATTTCGATGCCGGATTGCGGTGTATCTCCAATATATTTTATATTGATTCGGTCGAGACTTTTCAAATGTCAGTTTAAGAAGATTCTCCGTACTCATCATCATATTATTCACGTTACGTATGTTCATAATTACAAAACAAACCGTCAACACTTTGTGTAAACGTATTGAATGGTCGGTTTGAAAATCGCATTACATTCTGAATAATATTCATTATCAGCTCACAATAAGAGGTTTACCGACTAAAGTGAAACTCGGTAATTGTAAGAGATGATGACGAACCTAACTATTCTTTAACTGTTAAAGCAAATATTAAGACGACTATATGTAAAACAGGATGTCTTAAAATAATTCATTATTTCAGATAAAAGAAATGACGACAAATTAGATGCTGAAGGGTAAGGGTCATTTCATTTCCTCGAAAACAGTGGTCTAGGCATCAAGAGTCCGTAAAGCAGTTCCGTTGAAGCACGACAAAAGCTCGCTACCTTGTAGTCCTGAGCCTGAGAGGTGCAGTAGAAACGAGCATCGAGTTCTTCGGGAATCGTATAGTTAATTGGAGTGGGGGGGATGAATTAGCTAAGTACTAACGATGCGAATGCTTCTGCATCAGATGCCTTTCGGACTAGGCATGATCCATCAACCATAAACTATAACTATATATTGTGTTTTGCTAGTGTGAGTAACCATGCAAAGACCCCAGATCATAAAATTTGGCTTTTAAGCACTGTAAAACTTTTCCTGGTAATTCTCCATCTAATCAGATGGCTGCATCGTTGCCATTTTTATACAGAATTTTACTATCCTATTATGTCTGTTCTTTCCTTTTTGTTGGAATGAAATGAATGGAATTCTTACGTCCTATTTTTTTGCACCATGTGGGCTAATGAAGACGGACAACGCCATCGAGGGTGCAATGGTGACATTTTGCTAAGACAGTGGCATTAGCCTGCTGTTTTTCGGGAAAAGAATCTCTATCGTACACAGCCTGCAGCCTTAAATCAAGCACAATTTCGACTTCTTACTGATTCAATTTGTTTCTTTGCAGTGTTCTTGGAAAAAGGGCTAGCTGTGGTGGCTTAGGGGATGAATGTGGAGTCTCTCATATGCAGCTATGTTGTGAGAATCTAAATTGTGACGCAAAATGGAGCGGTCATTGTTTCTATGATATGCCTAAATAATTTCTCAACTTTTCAAAATAATTATAGTATGAACTATAAGTGCTGAGTTGTTGTTTTTTTATCAAAGTAATCCGAAAGATCTGGATCGCCGAAGTGTGGGGTGAAGTGGGTTTTGGAGCTCTATCAGCTGAGAAACTAAAGATGTTCTTTTATAGATGGTTCCCTTATTTTTATTTATGAAAATGAAAATGCTAATACTTATATGAATAGAAAGTAGCGGTGTTATAATGACTTGGAAAAATACTAGTTTGTCTCACATGTCCATAATTAATTCATAATTAGCTAAATTAGAAGAGAATTTCCAGCAGAATTCCAATGAGTGACCGATCAAGAAAGGTCAAAAAGTCTTTTTTTGATTATCCAGACTGTACATACATAGACATTTCTTATTGGTTAAAATTATATGCAATAAGAACATAATGATATGATTAAGAATACATGATAATTCATTAGAAACATCAAATAGTTTGCTTAATTTGACACTAAAAAATAAGGAAACCCATCTTTAAACTAACAGCTCTATAGATTCGTTCATTTTCCGTGTGTTATTGCACTCACTCGTTACACCCAAAACTATATAAATAGATCTTTATTGTTTGTAATTAGAGAGCTATATTCTGAAAATAAGTTCTGCACTGATCATTAAATGCACCGTGGTTGGTCGCAGTTAACATTCAATTTAATTGAGTCAATTAAACACACTATCGCTCAAATTTAACTTTTTTGGTTCCCTTTAGAAAAAGTATTCGACAAGCGCTAACAACATTCTCGGGCTAGCAACATGCGTTTTAGAGCTAGATTACTCATCGGTACGGCTAGTTAATTC